GAAGTTCTGAAAGATTTACAGATGTCATCTAAAGAAGCCTTAGAATGTTGTAAGAAGGTACTAATGGGTGATTTTGATTGGACCTCAGATGACCAGAATGATAATAGGAATGCACAAAGTAAAGCCATGGTTGTTAAGTTTCAGTTGAAAATAAGGACTCCATTGGCAATTGAACTAGAAGCCATGTGTGTTACACTCTGGCAGAAAATGTGTCTGTTTTGACCATGCCCTGAGACTTTGTGGGAGGTTGAGATTAAGGGCAGTGGACTAATTGATCTGTCAGATGAAATTTCAAACCAGACCAATATTTAGGTTATGGCATGGGTATTGCTTGTGATTTTAACCAGATTTACAAGGAGAAACAAGGGCAAAAGGCAGAATAAAAAATTATAAATCTTAAATTTTGGCCCATAAGGAACCCATGTGTAAAGTTAAAGTCAAAAGAAATTAGCACCATTAAACAAACATAATCTAAAATATAAAACAGGGACAAGAAGTAATATGCCTTGAGGACAACTCAGGAACCAGCAAGATTTCAACCATTGCAGATTTAAGAGTCCAAAAGTGTCAACATTTTATTTAAGAAAAGACTCCCTGATACCCCTGCTCAAGAAAGGCTTTCAAGGGAATTGATTCACCAGGATTTATTTCCCCATGCCCAACCACCCAACCATAGAGAGGCCACTGTAGCCATAGTCCAAGGGAGCTTGGCTACTGCTTCTGCTGACAGCAGAACTTTGTATAGTCCTCATGATGCTGGTTTTACTGACATGCAACATGCAAAAGTTGTGGGGTCAGGGAGGCTCCCATCCAAATTTCAAAAGAAGGCCTGGAAGGTCAGGCAAGGAGCCACTGAAAGAGTAATACATAAAGCTGTGGAAATGAAGCCAAAGGTACAGTAGAGACTGCAGGAAATTGGAAATACTAGCACATCAAGTGCCTGCCAAAGAAAGCTGGAAGCCAAATGGAGCCAGCCTAAGAAAAAGGCCATGTGGATTGCAACCAGCAAGGCCACTCTGGTAGGGTCATCCAAGCTCTTTGGAAATCACATTTTACCACGATGTGCCCTGTATGCCAAATATGGAGCTACAGGACTTAATATTTGGTCTGATGGGTTTTAGTCCTGCTTTGGTCTGATTCTTTTCTACCTCCCTATTACTCCCTTTTGAAATGGGAACATATATACTGTGCCATTATACCTGATATGGCTTGTGTTTAGATGTCCTCCCAAAGTCTCATGCAGTCATAGGTGGGGCTTTTTCAGAAGTGGCTGGATCTAGAGTGTGTGATGCTGGAATTGATTCATGGTGCATTAGTAGGATCAAGGGCACTAGGATTAAGACTGTGAGTGCTACCTCCCCTAAGAAGCCTGGATAAAATATAAGGGATAGAAAGAGCTGTGGTTGTCCCTTGTAGTTTTACTACCTTCTGCCCACCATTAACTGTTTCTCCTCTGTGCTGCCTGTCTGCCATGCCACCCTGCCTTGGAACCAGCCAATTATGGACTGAAATCTCTACAAACTGTGAGCTAAATAAACCTTTCCCCCTTTAACTTTGGGTGTCAGGTATTTTGTCTCAGCCATGAGAGAAAAATAACTAAGAGAGTACCTTAGGATTATTTTTAGTTTTTATAGAGTTTCACAGCTAAGAATTTGCTTTGACTCTCAGAAAAGACTTGGACTTTTGAAAAATGCTGGAACTGTGGAGACTTTAAGAAAGGTATTGTGATTCCAGTTGTATGTGTGATAGTAGTATTACATTAGACAAAATTAGGAACTTGCTATTGTCTTCATTTGGAGATTAAGTACAATTAAGTATGAAGTTGATAAGGAATAGATTGTGCCCATTAATCCCAATACATCAACTTCATTGGATTAAGAAATACCTAAATTAATAAAGCATGCACCTGAGTGCCTGGGTATGTCTGAATGGGGCATGGAGAAGTGACCTTGGTGACTATACCTGGTTCCTCGCCCATTCCTCTGTTCCAGTTCCCTTGCTTAGCTTCCTGGTCACCATGAACTAAGAATCTTTGCTCTATCTCGCCCTTCCACCATGAGGATTCTGCCCTGGAAACTGCCAACCATATACTGGATTTCCTGAAATTGTGATCTAAATTAAACCTTTCCTCCTTCAAGGTGCGGGTGTCAGGTATTGCATCTCCGTGATGGGAAAACTAAATAATACAGGAGATTCTTTAATGGTACAAAAATATGAAATGTAAATACAAGAGTATGGCAAATATAAATTAACAGAATTTACCAAAGAAGTTTTTTTAAAAATTAAATAATCATGTTATAAAGTGCAAAACTTTTACTGCTACTTCCAAAAAATAAATGTCAGGAACAAGGTTTTACAGTCAAGAGTTTTCAAACTTTAAATGAACTCATGGCTCCCAGCATGATGATGCACACCTGTAATTCCAGCACTCTGTGAGGCTAAAGCACAAGGATCAGAAGTTCAAATCCAGCCTGGGCAATTTAGTGACTTAGAGAGACCCTGTCTCAAAATACAAAACAATGAAATGCAGAGGATGGAACTTAGCTCAGTGCAGGGGTTCTGGATTCCATCCCCAGTGCCAAAAGAAGAAGAAAAAGAAGAGGAGGAAAAGGAAGAGGAAGAGGACCAGGAGGAGATGAACCATCAAATAAACTCAGTTCTCTCTGAATACTAGAATTATTGGTTAACTATCTTTTTGAACTAGTCTGTATTTTCTAAGTGTTCTACTTTTAAAATATATTTTGCTATTATCATAATTAACATACAGTAATGTAACTGAATTTATTTAAAACTGAAGCGGAATCTTATTAAAATCATGAAAGCAGGAATATACAATTTTTATTGTTCTGAAATTAGTGAAATGCAAGATGAAGCTAGTCCTAATTTGGCAATTTTGAGACTTTCAGAAAAGATGAGGACAGAAATATAACCTCATGAGAAGGGAGTGGGCACCAATCTCAAAAGCACACAGCCAGGGCATCACTGGACCCTTATTTCCTGGACACCTATTTATTTTCCATGAAACAGTATAAGTCAAAACAATATAAATGACCTACATTCAACCTAAGCCATTAACTTCCTGAATTATTTGGATCTCTACAGTTCTAGATATACGCTACTCAATATGGTAGCTATTAACCACTACAGGCTATTCAAATTATTTAAAATTAAAACTTCAATTTCTTAGTAGTCCTAGCCAAATTTCAAATCCTTAATAATTGCTAGTGGCTGCTATATTAAAGTACAGACACACAGACACAGACCACTTCCATTATTACAGAAAATTCCATTGGACAGACAAGCTCTGGATCTCCCACTTTACCTTATAGTTCATCCTAACCTGCCTCTCACTTGGAACACACTTATCCCAAGTTATTGCCACTTTCTGAAAAGCAGTTCTAGAACCACCCCCGGCCACACACACCCACGGATCAAACTCAGGACCCTGGGTTTGCGAGGCAAGCGCGGTGCCATTGAGCTACATCCCCATCCCCTGGAAATCCTCTTTAAGTCTATTAAAAAGGAATGACCAAAAAAATAATAGAGTGAATTCTGCTGCCAAGAGCCATCCAACAGAAAGGCAAACTCATAAAAAACCTTATAGTGTGTCATCCACCTTATTCACTGGATCCGGCATCCGGCGGCTTCCGGCTCTTCCTCAAAGTGAAGATGACCTCTAAAGGTAAATGTCTTGAATTCATTCAGGACATTGAGGCAGCAATGACAGTGCACTCGTGAAAGAGGACTTTCAGAACTGCTTCAGAAAGGTGCAAGAATGATAGTTTAATTATTTTAGAAGCAAGGTGGTGTATTTTGAGGGGAATGGAAACATGTCTTTTACTATGTAAGATTTTTAAAATTTAAACATTCGCCATATTTTTCAATCACACCTCATATATTCCTAATATTTTAAAGAAAGAGAAGTTTGGATCTATTACAATTTTATTTATGCAGTGAATTAGATTTTAGTTCTGACAATTATCGCATTGCATTAACACAAGAACCCTTTAGAAAAGAAAGTCATGTTTACAGTTAGTTCAGAACTTAGTGTGCGCTTCACAGCAGTTTATTAAATGAATACCCTTTAACTTTGTTCAAATAATTATCAGTTCTAAAAGACTTGAAAATGGGTATTTTTATTTTGTTTTAGCTGTGAAACTCGGTTTGAAAATTATCTTTTCAATGATTTACATTGAAAAAGAGCAGAGAGAAAATAAAAAAGATTTTTTTCATTTTAATGCTTTCCCAAAATAAAAGATTATTTTGCTTCAATATTATTTTCAGTGTAAGTCCTAACATTCACAGGTCCACAATTTCAGTCTACAGGTTAGGAGAGTACAAAGGTTATTATGGCAAAATTGACCTGAGCCACACCAAAAGAAACCGGGAGGTTTCAGGTCATTTCATCATTTTGTACTCGTTTAATTTTCTCTGCACCCTGAGCACACACCAATGAAGTCAAAGTTAAGGAAGTTTTGCGGTAAATCATCAACCATCAGCTCTTACAAAGTTCAACTATTATTGAGGGAAGGGAGAAAATTGAATGTTTAAGTTTCTACTACATGTCCACTTCTTAACTCCACCTACCACTAGTGAACGGAAAAAATTTAGGATGGGGGCTTGAAATCATTCAGTGGTTTATAAATAACTGTGAACAGTTACACAGAAACCCCTTCCATAAGTTAAACGGGGGCAGTCCTCGGGTTTATCAAAGACTTGGCTTTTCGCTGCCTTCTCCGGGAAAGATCTAGACGCTCGTCGGTTGGACCCTTACAAGATTATGGGGTCTGACTCTACGCACCGCGCCGCGGAACCCGACGCTCAGCGTGCAGCCGCGGGAGAAGAGGTTGCCCGGAAGTACAAACCGGGGTGGGGGGGAGGCTAGCGGGGCGGGGAAATAGGCGGTTCTTGGGGGCTTGGCCAAACCGGCTCGACGGCCATATTGAGGCCCCGCCCGTCCCTTGAGCGTGTCTTGTGCGCGCTGCTGCAACCTCAGCACCCAGAGGTAAGACCTGGAACCAGCAGAATCCTGGATGTCGCGGGCTCGCTTGGGCCTGAGAGCAGCAGTGACTACCGGGGACTGCTCGAAGTAGAAACGAGACCTGTGCTACAGGTGTCAGCAGGCCCTAGCGCGCAGACGCCAGGTCGGAGCTCCACCAAACCGCGGGCCGAGGCCTTGTCCCTGATCCCTTTTTCTTCGCTGAACTCCCAGCAGTGTCTGGCCTGGCGAGCTGGGCTTGCTGCACTGCAGGGAAGCTCCCCACTATATAGTGTCCGCTATGCGTGTGCAGCTTTTTCCATTGCACAGAGCAAGTTCCTGCTCTGCAGACGCGCAGCCCGCTCGCGAAATGCATGTGCTCCCATCCCGCTGAGGAAGCAGTCTGGCGCCCTGGGCGCTGGGTGTGGGCCGGGGTGACCAGCCACAGCCACTCAGGGGCGCGGTCAGCAGGCACCTGTCCTCAGGGTTCCATAGGCAGCAGGAGGTCATTTCTGATGGGTCACCGGGAGATGGCATTTATTTAAAAGTCGTATAAAAATGAAAGTCCTATAAAAATGGCTAATAGTTTTGTTTAGGTCACGTTATCCCCGAAGATTATTTTATAGGAAATACATTGAATGTATAAATGGATTTAAACCCTAGGTTTCTATACAGGATTGCTATTAGTGAAATATACTAGAAAGACTTTTTAATTCTATACAATTAGGATAATGGCAGTGGAAATCTTAGAAAAGGGTAAAGGAGACATTTCAAATGTAGAATAGATTGGACAGACACAAGTCTGGAAAAAGGAGGGAAAAAATACAGTTGGTTTGGGTGGGGGAGAGAGCTTAATTTTAAATGTGTTGAGCTTTACTACCTGGTGATGAGTTGTACCCATGGTAGAAGAGTCTAGCAGGCAATTTCAAAATCTGGCGTTAATGCTGGAAAACGATCGAATATAGAGATGCAAATTTAAATACTTCCACCCAGAAAATGTAGTTGAAATTTAGGGAGTGCAAGGAGGGAAAAGTATGGGAAGAGAACAAGAATGGGAAGAACTTAGATCCTTCTGCATTTTTTTGGAGAAAAGGATTTTGAACAAGAAAGTGGTAGTCAGCAGTAGCAGTTGATGCATTGCAGTCCACTGATTTGGAGACCTCTCCAGGTTAAGAGCCAGTAGAGTGAGGCACACTGGGAATTAGGTGCATCAAAATCCAAGGAGTGAGGGAATGAGAACAGAAAACACAAATAGGAGCATCTTTATCCAAAATGCTTGTGACCAGGAGTGTTTTGGATTTTGGACTTTCTGAAATTTTGAACTGTTTGCAGATACAAATAGATATCTTGGGGATGAGACCCAAGTCCAAACACAAAGTTCAGTTATGTTTCATATACACATTGTACACTTACCCTAAAGGTAATTTCAAACACTATTGTAAATAATTTTGTGCATGAGACAAGTTCATTGAGGGGAATTTTCCATTTGTGACATGTTGCCACTCAGAAAGTTTCAGATTTTTGGATTAGAGATGCTCAATTTGTAGAGATATATAGAAAACTATATAGACTCGTGGGAAGAGTACTGGTGAATGAACCCAGGGCCTTCCACATGTTAGAAAAGTACCCTAGCTCTGAGCTATATCCCAACCTCCTACCTTACAAATTTGACTCATTTGTCTTAGCCAAGTAGATTCATCTTCCTCTACTCTCCTACTCTCCACTTCTGCTTTCTTCACTTTAAGATATTTTTGGATATTTTTCATGCTTCAACCTTATACTTTAAAAGTTTTATTTAAGAAGTAAAAAATATTGTCATAGTGCTTTTGATCCAAAATAAGTTTTTGACCAAGCACCAGGCCTTCAGGCAAAATAAGTATAGTCATACATTGCTAAACAACTGGTATATATTCAGAGAAATGCATCATTAGGCAATTTTATTGTTGGGTGAACATCATGGAATATATTTACACAACCTAGATTATGTAGCCAACTGCTCTTTGCCTACAAGCCCCTACAATACATTACTATACTATAGGCAACTGTAGCAATGGTAAGTGTTTGTATATCTAAACATTAAAAAGGTACAGTAAAAATAAAAGAGGTTAAAAAGTGGCACACCAGTGTAGGGATCTTAGATGAATGGAGCTTACAGGACTGGAAGTTGCTCTAAGTCAGTGGGTGAATGAAGAAAGCCTACTAAGTTACTGTGACTACTGTAGACTTCTTTAACCTGTATACTTATGCTACACTAAACTTATTAAAAAGCATTTTTCAATAGTTAGCTTACTATAAACCTTTTAACCTTTGTACTCTTGTTAATAACAGCTTAAAACCCTAACATTGTACAAAAATATTTTCTTTTTCTGTATCTATTCCATTAGAATTTTGTTTTTAAAATTCTTTTCACTTAAAAATTTTTGTTAAAAACTAAGACAGAAACACACATGAGCCTAGGCATACACAACGTCAGGATCATCAGTATCGGTCTTCCACCTCAACCTCTCGTCCTACTGAATGGTCATCAAGGGCAGTAACGTTCATGAGCTGTCACCTCTGTGATAACAATAGCTCCTGGAATCCCTTCTGAGACACCTGTCTGGAGCCCTCTTGAGCAGTTGTCACTTTAGAGAAATATGTACATGATCTTTTGCTTGGTTCATTTTTTGTTTTTTATAGATTGCCTATAAGCAGATAATGCACTGTGAATGTTACTTTTAGTGTAAGAGTCCAGGTGTTCAAGCTTTTTAAGAAACATATTGAGGTCTGCAAAAACTGTTAAACCCTTCACTGGATTTTCTTGAAGTTCTTTTTCTTCTCCTGCCATTCCTTTTCTTTTACCTCTTCTTGAGCCATATGTTCACTAACTGATAAGAATTTTGCAGTTGCAATATTGGACCACCATCACACATTCAGTCTATCCTTGACCAAACAGTTGTTAGACTGTGTGTGACCTGTTAAAGTAATTTGACTAGGGGCCAAGGTGATAGGGTAATGCTGTCCCACAGCTACATTTTCCATACTGCCATATCCTGGGTAGATAATTACCTACTCCAGAAGAAACAGTTTCTCAAGAATATGTAAGTACCTACAACTGCTATATAGCATTTGCTGTGATAAACACATCCTGTTTGTAATCCATTTGGCTTTTTCTTCAAGGTCATCTGCCCTTTGATACAGACAAACAAATAGCAATTGAACAGGTAAATTTAAGTTTCATTGTGTATGTTTAATCTGAAAGTTAAATGAAATATCTAACTTGGTTTAAATTATCTTAATTTTTAATAGAAAAACTTTATTGAAAATATAACTGCCTACAGTATCATAATTGCATATCATGAGTATATCATCTAGTTTTTAGCTTTTGTCATTTTTTTGTTGACTCTTCACATTTTTTTATTTATAATTGAAGTTATAAATCAGAAAATTGGAAAAAAAATGTTAAAGCTTTGGGTTTTAAACCATGCTACCAGTTAAAACTATTTAACCCTGTTTCTTCTGCTTAGATAAAACTATTTGGTTTTGAATTTTAATTAAGGAACGTTCAAAGAGCAAAGACTACTTGTAAGTTTATTAAAATAGATTAATAATAAGAGCAAAAACTACTTGTAAGTTTATTAAAATAGATTAATAATAAAGCACAGAATTATACAAATAAGTTAATTTTTTAAATGTTTACATATTACATAAGAACAAAAGCCATTATTCATTAATTCAACAATATAGTAATTATTAGGTACCTTTTATGTACCAGATATGTAATCAGTATGCCATGTTTTGGGAAAGCAGAGTCCTTGATTTGTTTTAGGATTAGATTTCCTTGTAGAATAATTTAGCAAGTAAATTTTATTCCTTGCTCTCATGTGTATGAATATTAAAATTATACAGAATTTATCTGTAATTTCATTGTTTAAGATAAAATCATGAACAAGGGAAGTTAATATACAGTAATAATATGTACGTAAGACCGCTGTCTTTACCAAAAGCTCTGAGGAGCTGACTATAGTGAAGCACACCCGGGGATCCCAGAGGTGCCTCCAGAATGTAAGACCGCTGTCTTTACCAAATGCTCCAAGGAGCTGACTGCAGCGAAGAACACCCGGGAAGGAACACACCCGGACAAGTTGGAAAGTGAAACAGACCTTAGTCTCGCCAGATGGCACTCCCAAAGCAAAGTAGTTTAGAGAGGCATAGTCCAGAGTCGGAGGCTCTTTTTATAGGGGCTTGCAGGGGAGTTAACAGGCGAAATTTACAGAAGAAGGAGCAAAGGTTTAGTGGTCTTACATTTGTATGTTAATTAGCCTGACATGTACTGTTAGTCAGCAGATGCTTTGTAGATTGGTCTATAGATAGTGGTGTCGGGAACAAAGAGTTGGATAATTATGACATAAGATCTTATCTAGTGTCCTGGAACTAAGAAGCATCTTTATCTATTTACTCACCTTCAATCACTGTGGGTTCTAGGGGAGTTTTATGATTACAGAGTTATGCAGTCCTACATGTAGCAGAACACTGTCATTTAACAAGTAATCAGTTGTAGATTAAAAACAAACTACTTAATCAACAGAAGGTAATTTGTCTGTGTAATTGTAATGCCTTAATCCTATAGAATTAGTCAATCTTAGTGTGTCTTAAAATAAGAGAGTAAAGATTTCCTAGAAAGGCAGGGCAACATGACAGCTAAGAATAGGGGTTCTGATGTCAGACTTCCTGAGTTCAAATCCCAGTTTTCCAGTATAAGCGTAAGTATTTGAATTTATTGAAGAGCTTAAAGATAGGTTTTTAATTATTCTTATTTAAATTTTGCAAAGACCTTTTCACAATTAGTTTTTAACATCACTGTTACATATCTTTGTACGTGTCATGCTAAAACTTCAACTGATCAGCATATAGTAATTTTTCGCTGAGAAGACCACCAGAGTGTTAATATCTGTTCCTGGTATCAGAAGGTTTTTATTTAGTGTGTAGGGATTATGGCCAATATTTTAATGCAGTGCTTCTAGGAATGGGAAGGGATCCTTCCTTCGGAGGTACACATCAGAATCTGTTTGATTCCTGGTTTTTCAGTTTTCTTCCAGGTTTATTATTAAAAGGTAATATGTAGTATTTTATGTGTAAATTTAAAATATCTGTATATGAATATGAAAAAGATTTGTTCCAAAGAAAAGAAATTAAATGTGAAATGTCAGATTTTCCCAGTGACAGTGTATTCTTTCAGTTCACTAACAGGTTTATATTTTACTGTTTATAATAAAAGGGAAATACTAATTTAAAATTTGTATATAATTTGTCTCCAAAATCCATTAGATGAACAATTTGACTGAAAAATGCTGTCACATGTAAGGTTCAGCAATATTATCTGTTACTATCAAAATCATTACTGTCATATCATCTTCCTCTGCTTCAAAAGTCAGCTATTATCAAGCCAGGTGTGGTGGCTCATTCCTATAATTCCAAAACTCCGGAGGCTGAGGCAGGAGGATTACAGTGAGTTCAAGGTCACATAGCAAGAACCTGTCTCAAAAAACAAAACAGAAAAACCAACTGTAATCAGTCATTCCAATTCCTTTGCTTGTTACAGATGACAGGGAGACTATTAAATTTTTTAATCTTGCAAATTAATCAGTAACTTTTTTTATGTGATACACATTGAACTAGAAAGTCACTTTCCTATCACTGGGTCAAAATACCGGACACCTACAATTTAAAGGAGGAAGGGTTTGTTTTGTTTTGTTTTGTTTTGTGCCGGGGAGTGAACTCAGGACTCTGCTTATAAGGCAGGCGGCAGCACCACTGAGCTAAATCCCTGGCCCGGAAAGGTTTAATTTGGTTCACAGCTCTGGGGGTTGTCTGTGGTCCCCTGACTCTAAGGCAGAAACGTCCTTGGGGGAAGGACCTGGTGGGAGAAAGCTGCTTCACCTCCTGGCAGCCAGAAAGCAAAGAGAAGGGAGGAGCTGAGGGGGTGTCCCCAAAGGCACATTCCCAGTGACACACCTCTTCCAATCAGGCCCCACCTCCTAATAGCAAATTTACCTATGTATGAACTTATCAGTGAATCAGTCCATTAGTGAATATAGCACCCCATAAGCCAGCATTTTGCAAAACCCCGCCTCTAACAAAGGAGTTTTTTGGAGGACAGTCTAGATCTAAACTGTAACATCGAACCTCTTTTTTATTTTCTTATTTTTTAATTTATTTTGGGTGAGGGAAGATAGGGTCTTGCTAAGTTGCTTAGGCTGGGTTTAATCTCCTCATCCTCCTGCATCAGCCTCCCAGAATGCTGGAATTGCAAGCATGTACCAACATGCTCAGCTACTTCAGATCTTTTTAAAATGAATTTGGGTCAGTCCACAACAATATCAAGAAAGCTTATTAATAACTTAGTAATGATATACCAAAATATTCAAGTTTTTTAGTAACAAGTATGGTTAACAGATGTGTGTGAAAGTTAGCTTTTTAATATTATTTATCAGAGAAAAATGGCATGTGAAAAAATTTCAAGGTAGAAAGCAGTTATTTGTTTAGATAATTGATCTGAAAACAGTATTTCACGTTTTTCAAGAACTAAATTTTCAGATATTAATGAGAATGCCATTCTTCATTATAGGAGAAGAATGGCACTGAAGCAAATTTCCAGCAACAAGTGCTTTGGAGGATTGCAGAAGGTTTTTGAACATGAGAGGTAGATGTTGCTCATTCCATTTTAATGTTTGTTTTGTTCTCTTTTAAAGAAATCTTTACCTGTCTCTTATGGTGTATCACTTGACTTTTAATCCCCACCTCCATTACCTGTTTAACAGTTTCACCAAACTTTACTGGCTGGGCTTGGATGTATAACTGTATGAGGTATGAGAGGCTGAACAGTATCTTCAGGCTTTGATTTAATGATCTTGTGAAATTTCACAAAAATACCTTCGTTACCATTAAAAATTCTGAGAATATCTTTTAATGTAAAAAAAAAAAGATACCTAGACTTCTTGTTAAAGACGACAAATTAAACACATGCATTTGGCCTCCCAAATCTGACTAATATAGCTTTAAATAAAGATGTTTTATACAACATGACACACATACAGGAGGATGAAGAAGCAGGAGACGGGAGCTAAGAAAAATATTAGAATTAGGAATATATATGGACTATATATACTACCTGGGAATATATATACTACCTGACTTTGGAAAACCTAGAAAGCTAAACCAGCAAGAGAAAGCTGAGAAGTAACATGAAGCCATAAGAATTGGAGGCATCAAGCACACCTGGGAGGATAAAAATGGAGCTCAAAAAAAAGGGAGATTAGTTGCAAGTTAGTTTTAAAAGTTCATAGACCCAGATTGTCCCAGCATTTTATGCAGCCAGGCCGCTCCCTCCCCAACTCCTGTAAAAAACTGAAGCTTTACTCTTTAGGGAAGGTAGATAGAATCTGTACTAGGGAATACCAGGTGCAGGTGGTGGGAGGTATAGCAGTGCAAGTAGATTAAGTAAAAATTGGCACTGAATTACTTCCACAAGCTTCTAAAGTTTGTGAAGTTAGGCTTATGGGGTATGATCAAAATTATGGAGAATATTTAAGTTTAATTTATTACAGTAAAAGATACATTGCTGTTAATACCCCTCAAAATATTCCTCCTCAGTTCAAACATTTACCCATTATTGCTGCACTTTCTGAGGCACTTCTGGAAGTCCTCTTTTGTGAGTGTCTTTAGTTGTGCTGTCATTTTGCTTGCAAAATCCTGAATTGATTCAAAATGTTTACCTTTCATGGTCATTTTCACTTTTGGGAAGAGCCAGATGTTGCATGTTGCCAGTTCCAGTGAATAAGTTGAGTGAGGATGCACTGCAGTATTTTTTCAAGTCTCCCTTTCTCTTCAGTGATAGTTGGCAACAGCATTCACTATATTTTTTATCATACCTCAAAAAGACACTCATGAAGGAAGACTTCCAGAACTGCTTCAAAAAGTGTCAAGAATGATGGGATATGTGTGTTCGAAGTGAGGGGAAGTATTTTAAGGGGAATTAATGGCAATGTGTCTTTTACTGTAATTCACTATATTTTTCAGTCACATCTCATATAGAGCTTTTAGAAGAGCTCTTGTTAGAAATTTGTCTAGTCCAAAAGATGAGGTCTCATAAATGATCCAGCTGGATGTTACTCTACAAAGAAAATTGTATGGTTGCCAACCCCATCAGCGACCATGCTTTCAGCCTGATTTTTAGTGTTTTAAATAGGGGTAGATGGCTAAAGTTCACTAGATATTTGTACAAGTCCTCTAATTCAAAAGATGAATACCTAACGGAGGAGGGAAAAGCATTGAAGGAAACAGTCTGCAGGAGAGAAATTTCAAAAGTTCTGCTATGAATGTCAAAGGCATAAGAGAAGATACTGACTTTTGATATCATAGAAGAATGCTATTAAATATATTATAGAACAAAATAGCCTAGAGGCTCCAAATATAAGAATAGAAATGATAAAACCCAATAGAAGAATTACAACTTTCTAGAAATTAGATCAAGACAGAAATAGATAATCAGAAAAAAAGAATAACAAAATTAGAGAACCCAGTCCAAGAAGTCCAGCATTAAATATTACAAGTTGGGAGAGGGGTGTGTAATAGAGGTGTGAATATGAAGATTAAATAAATCTAGATTTCTTAAATTGAACAGTTTAAGTTGTTGGATTCAAAATGTTGTCCAGCATACTGTGAAGAATTAGAGCATTGAGAACAAAGAAAAATCTCAAAACATTCAGAGAGGGAAAATGAATTAAGAATTTTCAAAGACATAAGTCAAAAATGATGGAGTCAGGAAGACAGAGCAGCAGTGCCTTCAAAACTCAAAGGCGACTTGTTTGCCTTGTCAGACAGTCAGATAATAGAGTGAATCGAATAGAATGAAGTGTAGAATAGTATGAAGACATTTTCCTGTATATGTACAGTTCCCATACAGCTCTTTTCTGGAAGCAACTGGATGGTATGCTCCACCAAAATGAGGGACTAAAGCAGGAAAGCTGAGAACATAAGATCAGGAAACAGGATCAGAGGAGAAAGAATTTTCCAGGATGAATGTGGTGATACTAAGGCAACATCAAGTCAGGAAATACAGAGATAATAGTAGCCAGTAGTCATATGCAGCCATTGAAGTTAAATTATTTAAATATTTAAAATGCAGTTCCGCTAGCCAAACTTCAATACTTGGTTACATGTGACTGGAAGCTGCTGTATTGAACAGTACTGGCTTGATGAAATTGTTTTTTTAAGAAAGTGAAGTTGATAAAATTGTACTTGAGAGGAGATTTTTTGAACTAGGGAAGCAGGAATTTGGTGATGAATTAGTGATAACACAGATTGGCCACAGCAGATCTCTATATGAGATTCTATTCTTTCAGCAATTGAGCAGTATTCTAATGACATAGTGAAGATAGAAGTCTCAGAAGGTTATCTGTCATGTAATTGTTATATAAGTGTTAATGACACCACTGTTTAAATATACTTCAAACCTGATTTATTCTGTAACTATTGAAATAAGTCTTTTTTTCTAAATTATGGTAACAATGCTTAATATGAGATCTACCCTCTTACCAAAATTTTTTTCTGCCACTTTTGTGTTTCCTTTCTTTAAAATTTTTTTTAAAACTGTTAACAGTTTTTAAATGTACAAGAAAAATCTTAAGATACCAGCCACCTAGATGGGCATGGTGGTGCACACCTGTAATCCCAGCACTCGGAAGGCTGAGGCAGGAGGATCACCGTGAGTTCAAGGGGTTCAAGGCCAGCCTGGACTACATAGAGAGTCCCTATCTCAAAAAAAAAAAAAAAAAAAGGCATCAGCCACTTGTAACAAGATTATACTGTGTCAATTTTTTTTTATTAGAAATTCTTTTGTTGTTACATTGTAGGTATACAACACAATTACATTTCTCATTGGGAATTGTACCTTTACATGATGCATCTTGGTTCTTATTTTTTCCCCATTCCTAGCCCTCCCTTCACCCCCTCCACCCTTCCCTATTTACAAAGACTTTATTTCCATTTTTTCCATTTCTCTTCATTTTTCCTTTCCCTTCTTTCCTTTCCCCTGCCCCTCCCACTACCCCTACCCCTTTGGACCTTTTCTTCCTATTTTACATTATCGATTATTCATTCTAATCATTGGTACATTTTAGGTATACAATATAATGACATCCATCATTGGAAATTTGCACCTTTACATAGTCTCTCTTGGTTCTTATTTTTCACCCTTGCCCAGCCCTCCCTTCAACCCCTCCAGTCCTACCTATTTACAAAGATTTTGTTCCTATTTTTCCATTTTCTCATATTAATCCCATTCCCTTCTATCCTTTCCCCTAGCCCTCCCACTTCCTTCCCCTTTGCCCCTTTTCTTCCTCTTTCACATTACCTATTATACATTTATTCCTTATTTACACTTTCAGTTTCTCACACCAGAGAAACTATTTAGTATTTACATGTGAGTCCTATTTATTTCACTTAAGAGTATCGCCTCAGTGTGCATCCACTTAGCTATAAATGTCTCTAATTTCTCATTTTTTATGGCTGAGTAGTACTCCATTTTATTAAAAACCACATTTTCTTTATCCAGTCTCTAGTTGATGGGCATTTGGGCTGTTTCCAACTTTTATCTATTACAAACTGTGCTGCTATGAACATGGGTGCACATATATCACTGTGGTATGATTCTTTTAATTCTTTGGGGAAGATCCCCAGCAGTGGAATAGCAGGGTCAAATGGGACTTCCAGCCCTAGTTCTTTGAGGTATCTCCATTCTGATTTCCACAGTGGTTGCACCAGTCTACACTCCTACCAGCAGTGGAGAAGGGTTCCTCTTTCCCCACAGCCCCGCCAGCATTTGTTACTGGTTGATTTCATGATAGCAGCCATTCTTTCTGGAGTGAAGTGGAATCTCAGCATTGTTTTCATTTGCATCTCTCGAATGACCAGTATACTGTGTCAATTTTGATGATTTATAACAAATATTCTGGAATTGAACATGGATCTGATATGATTATACTGTGAAAGAAAATATCTCAGCTTCTTTAACAACAGTTGAAGATTTGAAAACACCTGCCAAAAAAATTTTATGACTTTTAATCATCAACTAGAAAAGATACTTAAAATAGGTTAGAAAAGTAGAATCCAACATTTGCAGAGAATGAAGGGAAGCATACAGAAAACTTCTTGTTAGCATTAATGGAATCCGTGGGAATCTGCACCTAAAAAGTCAACACAGCCAAGTAACAAAAATAGTTCTACCTCATTGAAAGGGAAAAGGGAAAAGGGAAGTAATCCGTAAATGACATGGATTATCTCTGAATAGCATTTATAGCTTCTTCATGTTGATTAACCAAAATTATATATTGAGAAGAGGGAGAATAATGTAGGGAGGTGCAGAGAGCAAAGGCAGGGAGTGAGGTAACTAAACTCCTGCTGTTATGGGCACCCAGTAGGTAATATCTAAAACTGAGGAAAGCAGCAGTGAAAACATATTATTTGGGTATGAAGGTAAATACTAGTTGAATCATCTAAAAAAAGTAAATCAATCATCTCCAGAATCTGGCATATTAAAAGGTTGGCAGGAAAACACTAGTTTTTCATAAAGTTTATAGAAGTATTTTATATTTGTAGTTAACTAAAGGTAACTTATTGAAATAGTAAATTTGCTTCCATTTGTATAATTTTTAAAAATAAGCCCATGATAAGTCACTGTTAAATGAAGTACAGTTTACACAGGAAAATACTATAGTTTTTAGCAAAACCTAGTTATAATAATGATTGTGATAAATTATTAGAGATGAAAGAGCAAATTAAAGATGTACTTTTCAGTGCCCATGAACAACACGTAATTTAAGATTTTTGGGATTCATTTTATAAGAAAGCTCATTCATTATTTCATAGCATCTCTTTAGAATTAGAATTTTTTTCTTTTACGATTGGAAGTGAATCAAAGGATTGCATTAATCGTTTACATTTATTCTGTACAAAATGACTGCCATGTAAAGCATAGGATAAAGTTGGTTAATAGATCAGTATGCAAAACTGGCCCAATTCTTTGTTCAAGAGACAAGGCATTTTTCTTAAATGTTGGTGGAATTACTTACTTTGGATCCTGAATCACTTTTTGGACCTATACTATATATCTTACTTTTTACATAGTGCTTAATTATTTTGTTTCTAAAGAAGGACATTGATATTTTATTGTGATGATTGTTGTTAAAATTACAGTGTGGAGCTGAAATGTAAAATGAAATTTGCTGTCTACTTACCACCAAAGGCAGAAACTGGAAAGTGCCCTGCCCTGTATTGGCTTTCTGGTAAGTATTATGTGTTTGAGTTTTATAAAGGAATTTGTTTCTTGTTAACTGGCTTGTCTTACCCTTTTATTTTGACTTACTGATATTCTCTCTAATCCATTTATGAAACAGTTTAGAGGCCTGTCATAATCTGCTTTGTAACTCTTTATCTTGAGAATAATTTCAGGCCTTGGGAATTAGATTTATTTCACTTTTTTTCAATAAGACTAATTTAGCATAGAATGTAAAGTTCTGGACTCAGTGATAAGGGTTTGGAAAAGTTACTTAATTTATATCTGTTCAAGCATCTCTGGAATTTGTAATGACTTTATCAGTCAAATGAAACTAGGGCACCATGATACATAATCAGAAACCACAGACTAGTAACTTCTACAGTGTTCTGTAGAATATTTTAATTTGATGGCACAGAGCTTCTCTGGCAACAATCTATAAAGTTACAAATAACACTAATGCTTCTTAATCAGATGTAGAATAGATTGTGAGAGGAAGACATTGACACAAGTAGTTTGGAACCTCTATGCTAACTTTTCTTTCACAAGATACTATCTTTAGAAGTAAATATTTCAAAGAGAGAATTAAAACAACTAAAATTGTTTTATGCAGTACTTTTTTATTTCCTTAAAAAATATTCTTGCAATGTTTACTTAACAAATCATGCCTATATATAAAGTATTTCTTTAAGGATAAGCTCCAAATATCAATCTTTGAAAACAAGAATGCACATTTCATTTTAAAAGGTAAAAGATAAGTGCATATCTGATTTTAACTGAACAAAGCAGTTCTGTGATTAAGTGAAGAGTACTGATTTTACTAAAAGAGTATTACAACAAAATTAGATATTTAATTATTTTAGAAAACATACTGTGTACTAACGCTAATCTTGGAAATCATTTAATTCATAGAAAGAAACTGAAGACCAGAGAAACTATATTCTGCCTAATGTCACATAATGGTTTTTGGACTTACAGTCCAGTCCTGTATTCAGTCTTTTCTCCTCTGTTTTCTGCATTTTGTTTCTGGTGAGAGCTACTTAAGTGATATCTTCTTGTTAAAGATTAAAAAACTCACATAAGAAGTAGCAGAGTATTGTGTTAGAGGCACTATAATAAGGGCCCAAATTCCTAGCCAAAATTGAAATCTGCCAAGACGTATCATCTGAACTTTATGAGTATAAAATACAAACTTTTTGTTTATTTCAAATCATAAGACAACAAGATGCTGAAGAGTATGTAGACCTTAGAAAGTAAATCTTGATTTTCTGACCAAAAAAAAAGATTTCCTGAAAAAAGTAAGATTGTCTAAGAAAGATAACAAAAGAATTTCATGTTTACTTGCCAGTAAGTTAAAGGAAAACAGTGACAAAGATTATATCCATATTATTTTGAAACAAAAAAGTTATGTAATAAGTCCTGTACATGGTAAAACATGCATGAACCTTGAAAACATTATGCTAAATGAAAGAACTCACTCACAAAGACTATTGTTAAATTCCTTTTATATGAAGTGCCCAGAATTGGCAAATCCATAGAGTCAGAAAATAGAATAATGGTTGCCTAGGGTTGAAAAAGAAGACTGGGATAAATGGAGAGTGACTTCTAATGGTACAGGGTTTCTTCTTGAGGTGACAAAAATATTCTAAAATTGGTGGTTATGGATTCACGACTGTGAATATACAAGCAACCATTCAATTCAATACCTCAGTATTACCAAATCATTTTCAATTTTTCACTTAAAAGAGGTGTAGTTGATCAAGTAGATTTTAATCATAACTACATACTCTTCAGAGTAATTCTTCTAGCTGAATTCTCTTGATTTTACTTCCTTCTAACTTAAAGAATTTGTTTCAACTAAAAAAAAATGAATTTTTTTGATTTACAAGACTGCACTATGTCCTAGACACAATTCAAAGATCTTTGTATGTAATGATGCAGTCATGCCTAGTCCTATGAAGTAGAATGAGGCAGTGCTATCCCTATTCAGGGGTGGGGGGGTTGTTTGTTTTTCTATTTTTTGAGACGGGGTCTTTCTGTGTAGCCCAGGCTGGCCTGAAACTCATGGTGGTCTCGTTTTTCTAGTGAAAGATGGTTGGTAAGTAGCTGAATAACACTTAGAACCAGCTCCTGGTCTGAAATCCAGCTCACGCTTTCAATACTATTACTCTGCCTCTTTTGAGCCATTTAATTAAGATTGTGATATGGTTCCAATATTCCTGGAAACTGTACCAGAAGAAATGTGGTAGACAGTTGTTGGTCTGCCATGCTAGGTGAAAGTCTTAACAGAATTTAGTCATAAACTCTCATATTGATACTTGTAAGTTTGTTTCTTATGTCTAATTTAACAAATGTTTATGGACAACTACTTTATAAGTCACTTCACTGTTAAAATTAGCAACTATAAAAGTATTTTATACATTATTTATGTGCATCACGGTTATCAGTAAGCTTTGATGTCACTAATTATCAATGTAATAGGACATTTAATGTCCTATTACTAGAGAAAGGTTATTGTGTTAGGTAGCATTTAGCTCAAGCATCTGTTGCTAGTTCATTCTTGGCCATTCTCACATGATTATAGTCAAAGTAACTACAGTGAGAGAATTATGTCATCCCCTTATCACCTGACTGAAAAGCTCAGTACTAGGAAAAATGACAGAAATGGTTCTAAAAACTGAATTTAGGGACTTCACCATTGCTCTCTTTTTAGTTCAGTGAGAGATAACAAAGATGTAGGCTGAATTTTGTTCTAAGAACTACCTATATATAAAACAATAAGTTTTTTATGTTATTAGAGCCATAATATTAGCTCACTTACTGTGCATAATTAGTCACATGTTTAATAAGCATGTTTTCTGATACCTCACTAAGGCTGTTTTAATATTGGGCATGTGCCCCCTAGGTAGTCCTACAGTTTTAAAAATTCCAAATTTCCAAATACATCTGGTCCAAAGAATTTCAGTAATTGAAACTTTTATAAGTGACTTCAGAAGGACAGCTATGGGATCATCTAATCTAAAACAGTTCTTAGATTAATACTGTTGGAAATTTACTAAAAAAGGAAATTTAGTGTGTTACTCAAAATTATTTCTAAATTATTATTCTAAATTACTATTTTTGAAAAATGATAATATTAAATGAACTTGCTTTCATATTATAAAAAATTAAAGCTTTTAAACTACTCTACAGTATACCATGAGATAACAGTATTTTTGATCTTCAGGTTTAACTTGCACTGAGCAAAATTTTATATCAAAATCTGGTTACCATCAAGCTGCCTCAGAACACGGCCTTGTCGTCATTGTTCCAGATACCAGCCCTCGTAAGTATTCTTGTTCCAGAAATCCTTTATAGAAATCTAAATCTTGTAACTCTGAGAGTTGTAACCAATATAATACGCATTATACAATTTATATTTTTGCTCTTATTTCTTAATCTTTCATGACATCATGACTAAAAGACCATACTGTGAATAAATAGCGGAAACTGGATGCAATGATTTTAAAGTATATTGGCTGTTTTTAATTCAAGATAGAGAACAAACATGTGCCTCCCTTTCCTTCTAAGATCATAGTGTAGAGAGAAGTAAAAGAAGGGTTAGTAGTAGGGAAGGCTCCTCAGAGAAGGGATTTCTACACAGTTCTGAAAGATAGAGAGAATATAAGCCCTTTTAGGTCATTCTCTGTCTGACTTCATTGCCAGAACGGCCCCATTCAAGAACAAAAGGTCCAAGAAGTATAATTTACCAAAAAGACAGGGCTTACAGTATGTGATGAACAGCATTAATGCAAATAGACTTGCACATTCATCTAGAAGTGTTATTAACCATGAGAATTACTGCAGAGTAGATGAAAGCATAAGTATTTTCCTGGATAGGTGAATGCCATATTAAAGGAGAAGATGATAGCTGGGACTTCGGCACTGGAGCGGGATTTTATGTGAATGCCACTGAAGATCCTTGGAAAACTAACTACAGAATGTATTCTTATGTAACAGAGGAGGTAATTTAATTTGTTTTGTAATTATTAACTGATGACTGCCAAGAGTTCAATTTTATATCAATGGCCTTCTAGTCCTGACAATTTTAAACTAGGTTATAGAATGATGACTTTATTTTATACATTTTTATAAATTATCTTAGTGGAAATGCCAAAGTTTACCAGTATTGTAGTCCTATTTTCTGCAGTTTAAATTAACATCAAGTACACATTTGAAGATTTAAATAATTGTATTGAGACCTGTGCACACAACCCAGATCATCAAAGAAAATAGTATGTGAAACGACCTGTCCTTTCCTGGTAGCTGATTGATTCAGAGATACTTTCTAGTGATAAGCCAAATCTTAGTTAGAAAGGATAAATAATAAAGCATTATTTCTATTAATATTGATGTGCAATTTATGCATTGATCTAAATTTTATGATTTTATCATATACATAATAAAACATTCAAAAACAATATTAAAATTTGAATGACCTAAATTCTTTTTTTCTTTTTTTTCCTCCCTGGTGCTGAGTAACCCAGGGCCTCACACATACTAGGCAAGCATTCTACTACTACGCTACTCCTCTAACCCTCAATCATCCATAATTCTTACACCCTAGACCATAGTTATGTTTCAATATATTCCAGATTTTTTTCTATGACTAATTTTCACATAATTATAAAGTTTTTTAATATTTTTTCAGTTCTATAAAATATTTTCCAGTATTCTAATTTAATAATTTGTATAATATTCTGTCACATGTTATCATTTACTTTTTTCTTAAGATATTTATGTTTTTGTGTATATTTCTTACCATAACAAATATTGCATTGATTATCTTTGTACATATTTTTCCCCTAAGGACTTTCCCTAAGATTTTCCCTAGTGAAGTTACCATGTGAAAAGTTTAAAAAACATTGTCTTCCTAACTTCCTAAAGTTACTCTTGAAGAAGTCTGTACCAGCTGGATATGGTGGTACATGCTTGTAACCCCAGCTACTTGAGAGGCTTAGGTGGTAGGGTCATGAGCTCAAGGCCAGCCTGGACAGCATAATTGAAAGTCCGTTTCAAAAAGTCCATATATTCTCCAGTGAATACATTAATAACTATTGTCTGCCTCAGTTTTTTTTTCTTTTAATCTTTATCAGTTCAAACATTGTAAGACTTGGAGGTATTGATTATGTAATTATTTTACATAACTTTGAAGAAGTCTAAACCTATTTTTTCTGCTATTTTGTCATACTGCTGTTAAATTCTTTCTAGCTTCCCCAACTCATAAATGCCAATTTTCCAGTGGATCCCCAAAGGATGTCTATTTTTGGCCACTCCATGGGAGGCCATGGAGCGCTGATTTGTGCTTTGAAAAACCCTGGAAAATACAAAGTAAGATTACCTAAGTTTCTGGTGATAAATATTTTTCTTGAATAATATAGTATTAGGAACTTCCAAAGAAAGAAATTACGATAGTGTTTTCTTTGTTTTGGGACTAAAATTTTCTAGGCTTGGAAACTTGGGCAAGTTGTCAGGATATTAAATGTGATGACATGATGTATGCTACAGAATCAGAAACATAGGTATTCCATTGCCGTGGTTTCTTGTTGGCCTGCTTAGAAGTATTATAAAATGTAGCTTATCTTTTTCATGGTCTTTTCCAAACACATTTTCCCCTCTGTGGGTTATTATTCTTAATTAATGTTATTGTGGTAGTATCTATTAATTTATTTAATATATTTGCCAGGTGTCTTTGTAAAGTTGACTTTGTGAGGTAAAGGAAAGTATTCATGATTTATGTTCTTAATATATCTAATGAAAATTGAAATACAGCTTGATGGAAAAAAGTCACAGCCTTTCCCATTCTTTATTTGAAGCTTTACACCTCTATGTATTTTTGGTTTAAGTGAGCCAAATTTGAATAACCATTATATGTAGGGAGTCATACAGTGTACAGCAGCATATTACAAGAGTTGAAAACGGAAATGTCAAAGCAATGATCATTTTAGGATTGCTTCTGATTTTAAAAGCAGAGTCAAGAGTCATTTGTCATCTCGAGATTTGTTTAATTCATTTATTTCCCATAGGAAAGACTTCTGAATTATTTCATGTGTGCTGCTGAGACATGAAAATAATTCTTATAGCAATTTCATGCAAGTCGAAAATAAGGCTTTTATTTTCCATTTTTGTGTATAATAAGTCAGTTTATAAATAAATAAACTGTAGTCAGTTGATTGTCTGAGTTTGAAAAGGTGAATTTAAATGTTTTTGTGCTTTACAGAAGCTAGCAGACACTGTTACATATATACATTGATAAAGCTGAAAGATTTCATCTGTATACCTTATCCTGTGGAATACAAAACTGTACAAAGAACAAAACTGTATCAGAAATTCAGTCATATACAGTATAAAGGAATTCTTTACTGCTGTCTTGGCACTGTTTAAGAGAAATAATGTCTCAGGTGTAATTTTGTATTACTACAGATTAATTTTCAATGGAAGAAACAAGTAGAAACTGAATATAAACTTCCACTTGTACCTTAGTTAAATTCTAATGCATTCCTTTGCATTAAACAACATTTAGGAGCTCTCTTAATAGAATACACAAAAGATGCACTATGATGAAGAGGCCAACAATTGAGTTCTGTATATGTCAGGAGGAAAGTTGTTCATGAGAGTTCTTGTAACAAGTTAAAGTTTCTAAGCTAGGTGTAAGTGTCTGTATTCGGTTTAGCAAGATATAACTTACTTCTGAATTTTTTTGCTTTTGAAGTCTGTGTCAGCATTTGCTCCGATTTGCAACCCAGTGCTGTGTCCTTGGGGCAAAAAAGCCTTTACTGGATATTTGGGAACAGATGAAAGTAAATGGAAGGTAGGTACTGAATAACTATTTGTACTCATTCTTAAATTTTCAAGTTTGTTAAAAAGCTGTACCCACCCAGCTATTATAGTCCTGGCCCACACAAGTTGAGAGCTGGGAACAATTAGAAAAGTGTGTATATACTCAGCCTTCCCTATCTGTAGGTTTTGTGTATTTGGATTTTACCCCCAAATTAAAAAAAAACACAACTATATATGTTCTGAGCATTCACAGGCCTTTCTTTTCATTTTCATTAATTCTCTAAACAAGGCAGTATAACAACTATTACATAGCATTTACATTGCATTAGGTATTGTAAGTAATCTAGAGATGATTTAAAGTGTGCAGTACAGATGGTTTAAAGTGTACCAAACAGTGTTCATAGGTTATATACAAGTACTCTGCCGTTTTACATAAGGACTTGAGCATCCATAGATCTTTGTATCTGTGGGGAACAAATCCCCTACTGATATTGAGGAACAACTATATGTGATAATAGCCATAAAAACATAAATTCCAGTAGTATTGAATCATGGAAGATAGTTTAAGACTACATTTTTTCTCCTAATGTTTCTTCTCTTTTTATAGACTTATGATGCAACCCATCTTGTGACGTCTTATCCAGGTTCTCAGCTGGACATACTGATTGATCAAGGAAAAGATGACCAGTTCCTTTCAGATGGACAGCTACTCCCAGATAACTTCATCGCTGCCTGTACAGAAAAGAAAATCCCTGTTGTTTTTAGATTACAAGAGGCAAGTACTAGGAAATCTTAGTTTGATCTAAATAATATAACTATAAAAAAGCAAGATTCCATAGTTTTTTCTTGCCTTCATTTTAAAGTGTAAAATGCTACCTCCAGTAAGATAGTTTTGTGAATTTTATTGTTTTTGTTTTTTGGAAATCTGCATGTCCATTTGATTTTCATTAGAAAAATATTATCTATATAAAAATTTGGTCCCCCTTTCCTTTATTTCTGCCATTCAAGTTTGAATTTTTAATTTTACTCAAGTAAAAGTAGAATCACACACAGTGGTACCTCAGATCACAAACTTAAATCGTTCCAATTCTGTGTACTTTTTTTTTTTTTTGGTACCAGGGATCAAACTCAAGACCTTGTGCTTGCAAGGCAGGCATGGTGCCACTGAGCTAAATCCCCAGCCCCCAATTCCGAAACAGATGGCAACATTCATGTTCATGCAGGAAAGGTGGCTGTGGTCATGTTTATTACCTGATGCAGAGTTCATACACAAAAACAAAATTTTGCCAAACATTGTTTGTAAACCAAGTTTTTCCCAAACAAAAGCATTCGAGAACCAAGATACCACTGTATTTAACATGAGAACTAAATATTTTGCATCATTAAATTAATAGGATTTAATTGTGATCTTCATTACTAGGAGTTAGGTGTCCTCTTTATTATTTCTCCAGAACAACAGTTTATCTTTCCTACATGCTATTTTCCCTTTACTTTTATCTATTGTGTATTGATGTTATGAGTGTCTCTTCTTTCACATTCAGCAATATGAGTGTACATAAGTATAATTTATAGTATCAACACTGGATTCATTATCTATCTAGTCAGTTCATGTCAGATCTCTTATGATACGGTTTTTTCATAACTTTGGATATTTTAGTCACACTTATACTTTCCAACATCAATTATAAGAACTATGCTATTGGGCCGGGGATTTAGCTCAGTGGTTTCACCTCCTGCTGCGCAGGTGCAAGGACCCAAGTTCGATCCCCGGTACCAAAAAAAAAAGAACTATGTTATTAATTTGAAAACTTGACAAAAATTTCAGAGTAAACAATACTGTGCCCAGTTATAGTCTTGCTGTTGTGAGAGGTCGTTGGACAGCTACTGATTCAGTTTCCACACGACCTGCTTTGAGCACAGCAGTAACCTGGTAAGCTGCTTTCACAGGAAAATGACTGTAGGTCTCACTGACGGTACCAGAGTTATTTATGTCAGTCAGCACTTGTTTTTATCACATTAGTGAAGTCACAACCTACAGCTTCCGCAGCTTCACCTATGTTTGTAAGAGCTCATTTAGGTTTTTCTGCTACTCTTCCTGGCACAAGCTATCCATACAGAGGCTCCATTCCTAGCTGTCCTGAAATGTAGTCTTGTCAACTAATACAGCTTCACTGCAGGGGCCAATGGCCCCAGGAACTTTTGAGGTGCTGATCATCTTTCTGGTCAAGGATGACAAGTTAATTCTTCTCTTGCTCGGGCCCTTTGGCAAGTTTTTAATAGTTTTTAATTTATCAGATGTTTGAATTGAAACCTTTCTGATATCTGATATCTGATAGTTTTTAACTTATTAGATACTTGAATTGAAACCTTTCTGATATCTGAGACCAAATTTGATAGAAATAGGAAAGCTTTTTACAGTGAAAAATATTTAGTGTTCTCCTTACTGTCAAGCTGGTAAAAAAACATGAATTTTAATGCTTGAATGATACTTACTGTCCAATATTAGTGGATTTCTCTTTTTTTTTACACATGCACTGTTGTTACAGTGTGTCTAACTTTTCTGGTTGCTGAGACAAAATACTTGACACCCAAAGTTAAAGGAGGAAAAGTCTATTTAGCTCAGTTTGTACAGGTTTCAGTCCATAGTTGCCTGGCTCCAAAGCAGCATGGCTTGACAGAGGGGTGTCACAGAGGAGAAACAGTTCGTGGAGGCAGGAGGCAACAAAGTAGGGAAGAAGCAAAGCAGCAAGCAATAAGTGACTACAGCAGCCCTCTTTCTGTCCCTTATTTTCTATCCAGGCTACCCGCCCTTAGGGTGGGGAACATTCATACCTAGGTAGGGCCTTCCCAATTATCCCCTATGCCAAACCAATCAGTGGACTAATTTAGTAATTACACACCCATGATCCCAGCATCACACACTCTAGACCCAGCCACCTCTGAAAAGCCTCACCTATGACCCCATGAGGTTTTAGGGGAACATCTGGCCATAACGCAGTGAAATAAGGACAGATTTCTCCCTTCATTATTCCTCATTTTCTGTACACATCTCAGCCTCACAAGCTGAGTATTAATCATCATGCACACTCATGCACTTTACATTATTTGACTTTTATGCTGATCTGTCTACACTCCACAAATTTTCCTTGACTAAAATACTTTTGACTATCCACTACTCACCTATTTATACTACTGTAGTTTTGTATAAACTTTAGGGTTTAAAAAAATATTCATAAGCTTCAGAACATAATAAAAACAAAATCTGTATTTCACAGTAAAAATGAACACTGAAAACTACATATGATCGTGATGTTTTTAAAACACTTCTATTTTTTTTTTTTTAATTTATTTTTATTTTTTGGTACTGGGGATCGAACTCGGGTCCTTGCGCTTGCACAGCAGGTGGTGAAACCACTGAGGTAAATCCCCGGCCCACTTCTATTTATTTTTAAGAGTGATGTATCAGGAACATTGACATAAAATATAGTCATGATGGTAACTGTTCATAATTCTAGTTGTTGTATAAGGTGGCCCTTTAAAGTTTACAAAAATAGTTTCTCATTAACTCATTTGCAGTCCTTATGCCATCAAATGAAAGATTATCCCTTTTCTGTCTATTTGCTTTATAGATGAGGAGAGAGGCTCAGAGAAGTAATGTACTTATCTAAGGTCACACAGCTAGTATTTAATAGAACCAGGACTGAAATAAGGCTATGGCTGAAGATTCTGTTCCGTCATCTGTCTAGCCATTTCCAGACAATGTGATATGCTCCTAAGGAACAAATGGATGGACTGTGTATAACCTGCTACCTCTCTAACTTAGGCAGCAGATCATAACAATGTCCTTGTTTATGGGGATATTTTGACATGTGAACACTGTATGTATTATATATATAATGTGGGAAAATATATAAAAAACCAGAACTACAGATATACATACATCTTGTTGTCTTTGTGAGTATGCCCTTATATAATAGGACTTTTTATATTTATTTAAACATTTGCTATCACAATAAAATTTAGATCAACAACCAAGTTCGAGAAATCCAAATATGAATTTGATTACAAATGCAGTAGTAAGCTTAACTGTATTAACTACAGCTATAACTGACCATGTTTTTTCCCAAATAACCTTAACTTCTTGGCATTAGCCCTATTGGATGTCTTGTCTACTTCCCATGAGACAGTGCCAGAAAATACTGTTGTTTCTGTAAAGTGTCTGCCTGCCAACAAAGTCTGGAAATCCCTCGAGTGTGTTACTAAAAAAGCCTAGAATTAAAACACAGATGACATTCTTAGAGGTAACAAATTAATCAACCTATTTATTTCTAAGATTCCTATGTCCCAAGAAACAACAACAAAAATGTGGTTGACTGAATTTATGAGGAGTCAAAACACAGCAGGCAATTGTAAAAAAAGTTTGAAAAGTATTAAAATTACCATGCACAGCCTTGAACTCAGGCACAATTTTTCATTCACTTTCTTTCCACCATTGTCAGGAAGGGTGAGCTGCTGCTGGTCTCATCTATGTTGCATTTAAGTTTGTTGTCATTGAATCAGCAACCAAATGGAACTGCCTAAGTAGTGATTCCAGGGAGGCAGGCCACTTTCAGATTTTCCAGTCAACTACCTTTGACCTTAGGCTGCCTCAGGTCTAAGTGATTTATCATCTGTTTTATCATTTGATTGTAAGTGTAGTATAACTATTTATTCATAAAATAGAAGCTGTGAAAAAATAAAATAAGCTGAAAATAATCTGAGTGTATATACAAATAAGTGACTAAGAAGGAAGAAAAAAAACTGTTAGAATCATATACTATACATGATTTACCTAATTTCATTCCTTTACATTTTTTTTTTTTTTTTGGTACTGGGGATTGAACTCGGGACCTTGCGCTTGTGAGGCAGGTGCTGAAACCACTGAGCTAAATCCCTGGACCCTTTACATCTTTTTTAATGGTGTTAAATGCTCACATTTATACTCTGTCAGCTGTTAAAAAATAAAAAGTTGTTTGAGAGGGAGGAATTAATGCCAGGGAATATTTATTTGGTAATTTTGTGTACTTTTATTATTTTTGGCTTCAGGGAATCTAAATTCTTTTCAAAAAGCAGTAAGTAGCAAAATTCCAGTAGCTATATATAGAGATCAAATCTTAGTCTGAAGAAGAAGGGCTTAGTATGTCATATCCTTAGTTGTTGAAGTTACATAACAAAAAAATTCAGTGTCTTGATACTGAGGAAACTTCCAGAAACACCTTTTCTTTCTTGGAGACTAGGAACAGAGGCTATCCTACCTCCTCAAGTCTCAGGGTCTTTTAAGATTGAAAGGCTTTTTTGACCTTTGCATCTGCCTCTTAGAAATGCGTAAGAACAGAGAGTTCCAGAAATGAAGGGCTCTCACTCACCTCTGTCCCATGTTTAGCACAGTTTTCTGGCATGTAGACTCTTCGTGTTCGTTAAATAAACGAATGAATACCTTTTTCATTCTTCTTTGTACCCTGAAGAGATCTAACAACCTGGGAATAAGCTTTTCTAATCGGGTCTGGGAAATATATAGAAAAGCACTGCCTGTTAGAATAAATGTCTGTCATAGCTGCCGGGATACTGCTTCCTTTTTGAGAGTTGAATGAAGAATGAAAGAATGTGTTTGTCTATTTTTATACTCCAGAAGTCAAATTTTTGCTGCTGAAGATTTTTCCATTTAAAGTGTGAGGTGGAGGAAAGTAAGGCCCCTTCAAGTGTCACTAAATATAGGCAGTTGCAGAAGCTGCATAACATACCAAACTTATTAGTCAAAGAGTGTAATGAAGGCAGCTGCTTTCATTTAATAAGATTGATAAACGGAACTTGAAACTAGCCAAGATGACGTAGTTATTTCTAATTGTGTAAGTTCAGCAGAATGCCAGTAGTTCAAATGTATTCTTTTGCTTCTATGTTGACATTTTTAAAAAATCCTTCATGGTCTCTCATAACAAGCATTTTATACTTTCTCATAAAGATGACTCTTAACTTTAAATATCATTATGGAAATTAAGGGCATTTGCTTTGAATTTTAGGTGAAATATACTGTTATCCTGCAGTACATTCCCGAAATTTCAAAATTGGCATTCTGGTTCACCGTGGAACTTCTCTAACAATACTAGCAGCTATAACAACACCTGTCCGTCATGCATATAAAACTGTGCAAGACACAGTGTATGAGAAAGGAAGGATGAAAATACGACACACTAAGCCACATTAGAGCCTTTGTCATGCAATTCTGCAACTTCTGTAGCTATTTTCTACCATATTGATCTTCTGATTTGTGAAAAATGGCAGTTACTACATTTTCCTGCATTTCACAGATGTTATGGCCTAAAAATCATAGACCTGTTTAACTTCTTAACAATTCAAGAATTATGTGGGCAGAACCTGCTTTTCTTTAAACTTCTTTCTTTAGGTCTAAATTTAACCATCTGGGACTAGTGTAATTATTGAGAGATGTGCAACCAAATAATTCTAAGGCTCAGCCTGAATCTTCACAATCCTTCTGTTAGATTCACTTCCCCAGTAGAAGACAGATTGCCTTTATGTTACTTTAGTGACCTTGCACTAAAACTTTTTATAACTGCTCTTCCTAATACGTACATGCCATAACTCTATGGAAGTAAGAGATTTAGAACAGTTACTGACTGATCACAATCTTGGGGAAACATCATGATATTTTTATTAGGTCTAATTTACTTCTTATGTGCTTAGAGAAGTTCCCTTTTTTCCCCCCATCAGACACTATATGCTAGTTAAGTTTAAAACTTTAAAAATATTTATTCTTCTAGTTTCTTCTACATTGTTTTTAAATTGTGGTTGAGGTGGGTGTCTGATTCCAAAATTATCTGGTGTTTTACACCCTTAAATAGTTTTTCCCAGCTCAATTTTTCTTTTCATTTCTTTCTGAAGGCTACTTATCTTGTACCCATAGGAGATGTCATGGTCACCAGAGAAGGGGCTGCCTCCTTTGTTTACCTGTAACACTGGTTTTAACTGATTGGGTAAACTGAGGTTTGACTCAACTGCTTGCCACATTACATTTTCCTTCTGTTTCATATTTTCAAAAGGTTTGCTGACTTTGTACCTAATTTGACGTGGGGTTTACTGAGTAATTCCTTTTTCTTCAAGTGAAGACATGTATAGGAGGAGGAATTCTTTCTTATGTATTTTTATTAGTGCATATTTGTTTTACAAAATACTAGGTTTCACTGTGGTATTTTCATATATGCATATAACATTTTGATCATATCTGACTCTCCTACCAGCATTACCCTCCCTCCCTTACACTACTGTCCTTTTCACCACACCCTCTTATCTCCTCCTTATTTCCTACCTCTTATCTAATAGTCTAGGATGTGGAATTCTTTTTTTTTTCCCTTAAATTCTTTTATTGGTACATTCTAGGTATATAATAGGTTTACATTTATCACTGGGTGCTTGTACTTGTACATGATGTATCTTGGTTCTTATTCTTTTCCCCATTCCCTGTGCTCCCTTCACCCCCTCCACCCTTCCCTATTTACAAAGACTTTGTTTCCGTTTTTTCCTTTTCTCATAATTTTTCCTTTCCCTTCTTTCCTTTCACCTTCCCCACCCACTTTCCCTACCCTTTTGGACCTTTTCTTCCTATTTCAAATTATCAATTATTCATTTTAATCATTTTAATCCTTATTTAATATTTTCAGTTTCTCACACCAGAGAAACTATTTGGTATTTACACGTGTGTCCTATTTATTTCACTTAAGAGGATGGGCTCAATATACATCCACTTAGCTATAAATGACTCTAGTTTCTCATTCTTCATGGCTGAGTAGTACTCCATTTTATTTAAAAACCCTAGAATGTGGAATTCTTAACATGATGTATGATGGCTGTATTTGGCTTCCAAACAGTGCTAGAGCTTTTAGGTGTTTTTGTGTTCTTTCCTGTATTGTTTGTGTGTTTAGTTTGTATTTTACCAGTTCCTATCTTAATGTATGTCAGTGTGCTTCTTTGTGAGTTAAAATGTTTCTAAGCTCTCTAAATCTTAATTTTAATCCTTGTCTGTATGACCGCACATCTACCCTGCACATTTAATTGATGTATCATTTCCTCTCTTTGCATATTAATAACAACTTTGGAAACCAGGCTATGTGAAATGTTTAGTTTTTCTTCATATTTTTCTTGCTCTTTTAATATACAGAAAAAGTGTTAAAGTACAGTATGGCAATTTTGACTTTGATTAAAACTTATATTGTAATATTTTGACTATTTATAAGCAAATTAAATGACAACAGGTACATTTAATGCCCCTAACATTAATATTTCTGGGTGGTTGATAAATGCCTTGTCATCTCTGTATTTTGTCTTCTAGGGTTATGATCATAGTTACTACTTCATCGCCACCTTTATTGCTGATCACATCAGACATCATGCAAAATACCTGAATGCATGAAAAACTTCAGATGAAAGAATCTCCAAGATTATAAAAGTTATAATAAAAAATTGCTGAGAAGAAAAAAATGTTAAATATGGATTGCAAAATGCTAAAAAAAAAAGCTTCCTTCTACGGTTGAATCACCTTCCGAATGAATACATAAAACCTGCTTCTGATTTTGAAAGTTATTTTTACCAGTGTTCACGTAGGAAAACTTTAACACTTCACAGCTTTTTTGCTGTCATTTGGAAGTCTTTGTTATATTAACCTCAGATCACAGAATATGAGTATAATCCTGTTGAAATCATAAAATATTAACTCCAGAACAGAGGATTTACAGGTTTAGCCCAGACTCCCTCCTCTTTCCAGACTTGCAGCATCTGAAGTCATGGACTGTCAGCTTGATTTCTAGGAAGCATTTAAGTACGGGTTGACAACTATAGACCAAGGAAGTAGGCCCAGAAAGTGAAAAGAATACCCCACCATTATATCTGTGGGTCAGCTAAGACTAGAAAACAAGTTTCTAAACTCTAGTCCAATGATTTTTTTTTCTTATTTTTTGAGCTGAATAAATCTGTGAGCACTAGGTTCTGGGATAAGCCTTAAATACAGTAAGTCCCTGGATTTAAGAACAAATACACCTTTGACACAAATTCACAATGTAAAGCATAAAAAAAAACCTAACAGAAAAATACTGTAAATAAACTTTACTTTTACAGTTACCTTAAAATGTTAAGGTAGACACATGAGCTACACTAAGAATGTTCCTAATCCAAGGTCAGTTCATCTGTGAAAATTTGCAACTCAAATGTTCGTAAGTCAGGGACTTACTGAAATAAGATTCAATCTGAAATGGCTCAAGGAAACGTAAATTGTATGTTACTGTGAAGTAGTTTCCCTCAATCATATTTAGAAATCTGGTGAGCTCACCAAGAAAAGCAATTTTTTTTGGTAAATACTAAATTATGTTCCTTTAACAACTTAATAGAAAATCTTTTCGAAACATAGGTTTGCTTTGGTAGCAATAGTTTTTCTGTTAAAGAGTACAAAGCTACTTATTTTAAACATTTAGTAAGAAATCATACTAAAAAATACTAAATGGTCAAAGAAGACAACATTAAATTGTTATAAAACTACTACATGTAAACATAGTACAAAAATTAGTACAATTTAAATATCATTAATCAAGATTGAGTCCAGTGAGCTACACACAAAATTAGTTTTGTGTTTTCTAAAAGAGAAGATCACAATTCATAATTATTTTGCCTGTTTATGAATAAATTTTTTTAAAACAAATAATTAGTCTATGAGATTGTGTTCTGTGCTTGTGGGAGCCCACTAAGCAAGTCTGGAGTCAGTAGGCCAGCTGTCAAGAAGGGAAGATCACAGCCACGCAGGAGCTCTGGCTACGGGAGCAAGCTCTTGTCCACAGGTGAGATTTCTTCTGGGAAGTCTCAGTCTTGCATTTAATGAGTTCATGATAGGGCCCCAATTTGTATGTGTTGCTGCCAGGTGGCTTGAACCATCAGTGGTACATGCATGGCTGTCAAATCAAGCAGCTTGTACCACCTGATGGGACTCTCCCATGCCGTCCTATGGGACAGCCATGCATATGTCCCTGGTGGTGCGGCATGGTGGGAATGTGTTAAGGTCTTCTAACTGTTTGAGGCCCACCAGGCTCTCTCTTCCTTATTTAAAATCAGATAATTAGGAATAGTACAATACAAAACAATAAAGCCATGATTAAGGTAAAAAGCCACAAAGAGATTGGAGATACTTTCAATACCTGTATCTAACAAATTACTTGTATCTAATTTTAAAACTATCAGAAGTTCATACAGGGCTGGGGACTTAGCTCAGTGGTTCCACAGCCTGCCTCGCAAGTGCAAGGTCCTAAGTTCGATCCCCGATACCACAAAAAAAAAGTTCATACAAAGAAATCTGAATAATTTCTTCACAAAATAGGGCATAAATGTTTTATTAGCAATGAAAAATGTATTTCATAGAACAAGAAATGTAAGTAGCACTACAGTTAAATATAACCTCATACACAACCGAGTGACTAATGTCAAGAAAGCAGATAATTCTAAGTTTTGCAAGGCTGTATGGTAACATGAACTAGGATACTGCAGAGGGAGGGGAGGTGTCTGCTAAAGTTGAACACGTGTGTCTCTACACAAGTGCACTCCAAAGTACAATCAAGAGAAATACACCTGCAAGCACTATTCATAAAAGCCAAAACCTGGAAATAGGTTTTGAATGTCCATCTGCATTAGAATGGATAAAACTGAAGTTACTCATACAATGCAATATTCTACATAAATGAAAATGAACATGCTCCAACTAGGTACAGCAACATGAAAGAGTCTCAGACAATCTGGAGTGAAAGAATCCAGACCAAAATTATATTCTGTACATATCACATGGTACCATTTTATGCAAGGTTTCAGGTCAAGCAAAGCTCATCTATGGTGTTAGAAGTCAGGATACTTTGCCCATAGCAAGGGGAGGAATGAGGCCCGAGGTGATTAGTGGTAGCATGAGAAAACCTTGGGAGATATTGGTGGCGATCAAGGTCTTCCCAGGTCGTTATGTGAGTAGGTGCACTTTGAAAATTTGTCAGGCCATATACAAGATTTATACAATTCAATGTGTATTGTATTTCAATGAAGTTTACATTAAACATATTTAGTAGTTATTCTGTGGAGATCATACATATACAGTGCATGAAAAAGAAATCTTCACGTTATTACAAAGGATGCTTATCTTGAGGGATAAAATTCTAGAAGCTGCACTGCTTATAGATTCAACTATGTATCTCAAACCACTTGGAAGTGAAAGTGTATAATGCAGCAAAAGTGGTTCTTAGGTTGTCAATGCTTTTGAAGATGTAAGTGCAAAGTTTAGATAAAATTTCACGAAATCTTACAGGGAAATGAATATTTCTAAACTGACATCCAATTAGCCACAGCAGTTAGAAAAGAGAAAGAAATAAAAGGAATATAAATAGGAAAGGAAGAAGTTAAACTCGTTATTTGCTGATGAAATGATACTTTACATTGAAGACCCAAAATACTCTGCCAAAAGACTTCTGAACTTAATTGACGGATTCAGTAGAGTAGCTGGATATGAGGTCAACACCCAAAAAACAATAGCCTTTTTATATACAAATAATAAGACTCACTGATAGAGAAATTAGGGAAACAATTCCTTTTACAATAGCATACAAAAAAACGAAATATCTAGGAGTCAGTCTAACAAAGGAAACAAAAGACCTCTACACTGAAAACTATAGCACTTTGAAAAAGGAGATTGAGCAGGATATAAAAAAATGGAAAGACATCCCTTGTTCCTGGATAGGAAGAACCAATATAGTGAAAATGGCCATACTTCCAAAACTATTATATAGGTTCAATGCACTCACATCCCTATTGAAATTCCAACAATATATTTCACAGAACTAACGAAAACAATCCAAAAATTCATTTGGAACCAGAAGAGACCTAGAATAGCAAAAGAAATTTTAGGCAACAGAGATATGGCAGGGGGTATTACAATCCCCAACTTGACATCTAAAATATTTTTAAATGTCTATATACTAAGCTGTGACAAATAGAATAATAGAGTGTATAAACATTCAAATAAACAAAACAACTGTTTTGGATATTAGTATTTGAGAAACAAAGATCCCTTCCTATTTAAGGTCTTGTATTAGAGATACACATTAGAGATATAATATATTACAGTGTTTTATAGGATTTCTGAAGCCAATGTACTCTATTAAAAGTACCATGTTTTTTGTGGTTGTTTTAACAACTTTAATTTTCAAAGCCTCCATTCAGAGTTATCTGAAAGATTGGTGGTTTGGGTGAAAGAAATGCTACTGATACTTCAGTGGGAACAATGGCAAGCAACTATAATGGGTAAGAAGAAATTGGCAGAAGTGGTGGGGCAAACAAAGAGGCAAAAATGACTACAGAAACACAGATCACAGTTTCAGTGGAGGACACTGTTACTAAAACCAAGAGGAGTTTAGTAAGGTCGCTAGAAAAAAGATCAACATCTCAAGTCAGTGATTTTCCTATCAGTCTAACCAAAAATTATAATAAGAAAATGATCCCATTCAGAATATCAACAAAAAGTGAAATTACCTAGGGATGAATCATGCAAGAATTGCCTAAGGTCATTACTAAAGTGAGTCTTAAAACTAATGAGGAGCAATATATTCATAGGCTCAATATTGTAATGCTAATTAATATGCCAGAGATTAATCTCTGAATGTAATGTAATCCTAATTGAAATCTCAGTATTGTTAATGGAGCTGGATGAGCTAATAATAAAGTTTATATGGAAGAATATGCCTACACAGTTTGAGTAAGAACAAACTTCTCTACCAAGTGTCACAATGTATATTATAAAGCTGTGATTAAATGAGCTTGGACTCAGAAGACTTCAGTAGATCAGAAAGTCCTGCCACTGACACTTATGGGAATTTAGTGTATGCTAATGGTAGCATCTCAGTGAGGAAAACAGGGACATTTCCACAAATGGACCTGCAAAATTGTTCATCAGTAACTTCACAGGGAGTCATATAACAGGGGACTGTGCAACGGCATGCCCTGCAGCCTTGTTGCAAGCAACGAAGCAGATATGAAAACAATCCCAAGCTAAAATTTATAAATAAGCCACTGAACAATGCACATAATTTGATACTATATAGTTTCAAAACCATCAAGGTAATATTTATACTTACTATAGGTACATATTTTATGTTTTATATCATTTACATTTATAATATATTTCATAAGAACAGATCTAGATGGAAATAATGGGAGTTACTTCCAAGAAAGAGGAAGAATGTATTAGAATTAACAGTAAGAGTCAAAGAGGCTTTACTTTTAACAGATGATGTCATTTTTACAAAGTTATTTGTGTACCTTTTGAATTTTAAAATATTAGTTTTAAATATTAATGTTTAGTGAATGTTGAAAACCAGGGAAAAAAGTGCTTACCACAATCTGTGTCAAGGCCCAGACACACATCTTTATGCTTCTTTTTTTTTAATTACTTATAATTTTATCACCAAGACTGAT